GGGAAACAAGCACGAACTGGTGGGACCGCATAGTGCTGCAGGTCTGGGATGAATCACAGTGGCTGCGAAACTTTCGCATGCGGAAGGGGACTTTCATGGAACTTTGTGAGTTGCTGTCCCCTGCCCTGAAGCGCAATGACACCCGGATGCGAGCAGCCCTGACTGTCCAGAAGCGAGTAGCCATAGCCCTCTGGAAGCTTGCAACACCAGACAGCTACCGGTCAGTCGCGAACCACTTTGGCATGGGCAAATCTACCGTGGGGGTTGTTGTGATGCAAGTAGCCAACGCAATCGTTGAGGTACTGCTCTCAAAGGTAGTGACCCTGGGAAACGCGCAGGTCATCATAGATGGCTTCGCCGCGATGGGATTCCTAAACTGCGGTGGGGCTATAGATGGAACTCACATCCCTATCCTGGGATCGGACCACCAGGCCAGTCAGTACATCAACCGAAAGGGCTACTTTTCAATGGTGCTGCAAGCACTAGTGGACCATAGGGGACGTTTTACAAACATCAACGTCGGATGGCCGGGCAAGGTTCATGACGCTCGTGTTTTCAGGAACTCAGGTCTGTTTAGACGGCTGCAGGAAGGTATTTACTTCCCGGACCACAAAATAACTCTTGGGGATGTGGAGATGCCTATAGTCATCCTCGGGGACCCAGCCTACCCGCTAATGCCCTGGCTCATGAAGCCCTATCCTGGCGCCCTGGACACTGAAAAAGAACTCTTCAACTACCGGCTGAGCAAGTGCAGAATGGTGGTAGAGTGTGCTTTTGGCCGTCTCAAGGGGAGATGGAGAAGCTTACTGACTCGCTGTGATCTCAGCGAAACCAATATCCCCATTGTTATTGCAGCTTGCTGTGTGCTCCACAATCTCTGTGAGAGCAAGGGGGAGACCTTTATGGCGGGGTGGGAGGTTGAGGTAAATAGCCTGGCTGCTGATTACGCCCAGCCAGACAGCCGGGCGATTAGAAGAGCCCAGCGGGACGCGCTGTGCATCCGGGAGGCTTTGAAAGCTAGGTTCCTGAGTGAGCAGGGTAACCTGTGACTTTTAAGTTTGTGTACGGAGAAGCTGAACCTGCCCCCGTTTCTTTACCCACTAAATGTTCAGTATCCTCTCCAGTTACATACCCCGTTCCTCCCCTTCCAACACACTTTTAAAAATAAAATCACTTGAATTTTGTTAATGAACACCGTTTTCTTTATTACTGTTTTCGCGGGAAAGTGTTGAACCTGGGACGCAGACTGTGGTGGGGAGCGGGTGTAGTGTAGTGATGCAAATGACGCTTCTAAACTCCAGGAATGACAGGCTCCGCAGTGGTGGACTGGTTGTTTCAATGGAGCCTGCCACCCCTCCTGTGTGTGTGGGGGCTATGTGACTTTGTGGCAGGGGGAGGACGGTTACATATCCCCTGCTGCGTGGCTCTGTGATCCAGGATAAGGACCGCTGCATAAGATCTCTAACTGCCCTCCCCCACCACAAAGTCACAGAGCCCCCCCCCCCGCCCCAGAACATGAAAACCACCTCCCAGACTGACCAGGGTAACTAGTGACTGCAATGTGTGTGTGCCCTGCTGCTGAACCTGCCCCCGCCTCTGTACCCTGGTAAAGGTGACTGTCCTGTCCAATTACCAACCCCTTTCCCCCCCTTCAGACAGACTCTCCTCTAAAAGAACATGATGGAAACAGTAATTAACAGAAACGTATTTTTTATTAGCAACTACACATGAAACTGGGGGGTGAAACTTGGACGGGGGCTTGGGTGAGGCGGGAAGGAAAGGACTTGTCAAATTTTGGGGAATGAGAGCCTTCTGGTACTTGAGCAGTCTGCAGGGGTGGAGTGAGAGTTTTCACGGACTCTGCCGCCCCTCCTTCTTGGGACTTTGGGTGACGGGGGTATGGGACTTGGTGGCGGGGGAGGGCGGTTACAGATAGACTGCAGCGGGGCTCTGTCCTCCTGCCTCCGGTCCTGCAGAACATCCACAAGGCGCTGGAGCGTGTCCGTTTGCTCCCTCATTAGTCCAAGCAGCGTTTGAGTCGCTTGCTGGTCTTCCTGCCGCCACCTCTCCTCCCGTTTCATGTGTGATCTGTGCATTTGGGACAAGTTCTCCCTCCACTGGGTCTGCTGGGCTGCCTGGGCTCGGGAGCAGCCCATAAGTTCCGAGAACATGTCCTCCCGTGTCCTCTTCTTCCTACGCCTAATCTGCGCTAGCCTCTGGGAGTGTGATGCCAGGCTAAGTCGGGAGACAGTCGCAGCTGTGGGAATGGGAAAAAGGGAGTGAATTCCTCAGAAAGATAAATTTAGTTGTGAACAAAGAACATAGTCTTTCTCTGTGAACAAGACCATGCACAGCACCTATCACATGCGCACTCAGGACAAGGTCGAATTTTCGGCCTTCGCATTCAGTGCCTGGGGTCTTGCAGTGCAGAACAGAGAAGCGGGGCAGGACACCGGAATTTGTGTAGCAGGCCGACATGGTAAGCCGTAGACTTGTGGCTGCTTAAAACTTTAATAGTAGCACTGGCCTCCTTTCACATTGAAAGCAATGCCAGTCCCTGCTGCCAGCAATCCGGCAAGCATGAACTCTGCCTCTATCCCACCCCCTCGCGGCTGTCCCAGCGAAAGATCCCTGTATGCTGCCCCTCTCCCGCCTCCACCGCGTGGCTGTAAACTGCCGGTTACAGTTCTGTAAAGGAACAGGCAAGCAGTCCCAATACTAACATTCCCCTACCTAATTCAAAGCAGGTCACCATGAGCGACATCACTCTGATGAGGATTTCAGAGACGGAAAAAGAAAGGATGCTTCGGGAAAGCCTGCAAAGACCAGGGCCGTATGCCGCCATGCTCTGCAGGGCAATGATCCCGGAGTACTTGCTTGTCTCCTGGCGCGGAAATGTTTCCTACTACGGAGGACCCAATAAGGCCGCTCTCCCCAGGAACCTGATGCAAAGGCTTTCCAATTACCTCCAGGAGAGCTTCGTGGAGATGTCCATGGAGGATTTCAGCTCTATCCCCGGACATATAGACCGGATTTTATTGTAGCTGCACTGGCAGGGACTAAACAGTAGAGCGGCTTGGGCAGAACAATCATGCTAAACCAGACATTGTTACATTTTTTTCAGTAGTTGCACTGCCAGGGACTGAAACGTTAAGCGCCTAGGGCAAAATAATCATGCAAAACCCATTGTTAATATTGTTAATATTCCTGTTCTGTTAAAAACAAATGTTTAGATGTTTTAAACACTTACTGAGTGATCCTTCCCCTGATTCTGTGTCCGGGTTAACGGCTGGGGACGGTTGGTAGGGGATCTCTGTAAGGGTGATGAAGAGATCCTGGCTGTCGGGGAAATCAGCGTTGTAAGCGCTGTCGACTGCCTCGTCCTCCTCATCTCCTTCCTCATCTTCCCCGTCCGCTAACATGTCCGAGTGTAGACCAGGCCTTAGTCTAGTCCCAGGGACAGATGCTTTAGTTAGTTTCCATATGTTACAATAGCAGCTGCAGCAGTGTAGTGGCAGCTTCAGAAATCAGGAAATCACCTGCTAGAGAAACCTACTGGGCAAATGTCCCATTTTGGATAAGGTCCCACCAGCGGGATGTTTCTCCAGATCTCCTGGCTTGGTGTGGGAGTCACATGAGAACAGTCTCCTGCACTGGGGTAGCACCTAGCGGGGGCATGGCAATAGATACATTTTAAGGGATTCTGACTTTCTGACCCGAGCAGCTTCCTGTGGCTGGGTCCATTATCAATATGCAGGTGATACCCAGGACCTGCTACTGGAGGCCCAAATGAACTTGTTTTCAGGATCGTGGTTGAAAGGAAAAGTCAGTCTCTCTGCATCCCCTTGGGCAGCCTGTGTGGTTTGCCCATGAGGCCACAGGCCAATGCACAAACTTCAGTTTAAAAAAAAAAAAAAATAAATCTAATAGTTGTTTCATTGGCTTCTGTTTTTCAGTGGAGGGAGCAGTCTCCTCCTGGTAATTACAGCCCCTTATCTGCGGTGCACTTCCCCAAAGCAGGATCGCATGGTGCTGGACGTATTACCAGTCAGTTTGACATACTTCCGTTATCCTGCAATACAGAACTGCTCTGGGGAGTGCCAGTGTAAATGGTTCTGTTTACTTAGATTCCTTCCTTCCCTGTAGGTCTGTAAAGGAGACCACACAAGCTGTGTGAAACTCTGCAGGGAAAGTGTTTGTATTTCCTCTTGTCACTAGGTCTCTGGAGATGTTCTTACTCCCTTCACACTCTGTAAGACGATCCACTTAAAATAACCCAGGTACTAGATAAAACTAATCTCCCTCATCCCACCAGGAGGCCCCTCCTGACTTCACAGCAACCCTTTGGCTTGTGCTCCCAGTGAATGTAACTTTATCCTTGGATGGCAAACTCCCAAACAGCCCTTTTTGCAGCATGGCTGCTTCCCCAAAGCAAAAGCTGTGGCTTTTCTTTTCCCCCCTGCTGATGGTAATTTTGGAGCACACATTGCCTCAATTACAAAATCAAAGGGCTCTGCAGAGCATTGAGCCGAGCTGTGGCTGAAGGGTCTTGTGCTGGGCAGCTGGAGTAGATTCTGTTCTTCTGGTCTAGCTTTTGCAGTCGATTAAGTAAGCGAGGCCCATTAGCACGGTAGCAGTAACTAAGTTTGCAGTCACAGGAGCACATGGTGACCATCTGTAAGTCCGGTTTGACTCTCTGCCACATGCTCTGTGCGCCTGGCAAATGTTGGGAAAACCACAGCTCTGCCTGGTTGTGGGATGGGGCCCCTAGTCCTGTAATGCTCAAGTGACACTTGCAGATAGATAAAGTAAGGACTAGTCCTGGTGCAACATCAAAGGGTTGTCTACACAGGGAAGAAGCCCTCAGGACCTGGGGTGCACTAGCTACTATGCACTCATTCCCTGTGTGGACATACTAATTGTGCATTGAGTGTCTTTGCACTTTGCTTTGGCTATTTCCGTATAGTCTGTTTAACCTCTCTGTCTTTTCCCCCCACCAGCACGTGGATGGCAGCTTCTCTGTGAAGCCTTTAAAACAGAAGCAGATTGTAAGTATATGGTCCCTGTTTATATCATTTACAGAAAAAAAATGTTCTGGGTAAAGGTGTTTGCTGCCATCCCAGAGATGCCCACATGTGCCCAACGGGCAGCTGCATTGGCAGATAGCCAGGAGCCCAAGGGCTGCACCTAATTTGTCTGGATTAAGGAGCAGATTGGAGCCTTCCTCTTCTTTATTGTGGAGGTGGGGCCTGTGCAGCCAAAAGGTGCCAGCTTTGCGCTGTGGGACCTGTAGTGTCACCGGGCAGCACCTTTTGTACTGGCTTAAGTGGTGCATTGTGTTTAGATCAACATCTGTCATTCTGTGCTCCTGGGTCTCCATATCAGATTTAGGCATATCAAAGTGGTAAGTGCCTTAGAAATATCTACTGTCCTGATGTCTTCACTAAGCTATATCAACATCAGTTTGAGGCCTGTCTGAATTGCGTCATTGCTGGATGTGTCGGGCAGCACAAACACCACCTGCTCAGAATCTACTCTATGCCCCTTCAGCTCTGTTCTGTGAGAGAGGCTCTAGAAGTCTAACTGGGTGGACCATTTTTTGGCCATGCCAGTGTTAGCCACCCCCTCACAACTGTTAGCTCTTTCCCTTGCATATCTCCGTGTCTTAGCTAATTGCAGGGATCTCTGTACTTGTTTTCTCCCTGCACAATGTGTCCAGTCTCCTTATTCGCTGAGGAAAGGAAAGTCTTTTTCTGGTGATAGCCTAGGAACAGCTGGGGTGACGGGAGCAATCCAAGGAGATCTAAATAGAGGGTGCTTGATCCACAGGCAGCTAAAAGGAAACCTGGGAGCTACTGCAAGAAAGCAGAGATAGAAGAGCTGTTAACTCACCTGATCCATCCTCCTGCCAGTGCAGAGGGGCTTGGGAGAGCTGGCATGGATGTTGCCTAGCCAGAATGAGCGACAATGAAGCCATCATATAATTCCAAGCAGAGTTGAAGGGAATATCCTGAGAGCTGGAAGACTCACAAGACACCAAGGTTCCCAAGGAATTCAGACTTTGGGGGAGAAGTTTGACGTGATCTCTCGGCAAGGAACAAGGAGAGGTGGCTTGGGGGCACCTGCAGTGCAGGGCGTTGAAGAAGATGCAGCACACGGATGTTCAGCTGAGGTAACGGAAGACCAAAGAGCGAGCTGTGGTGAATGCAGGGGCTATTCAATCTGATCCAGAAGCAGACTGGGCATGTGCAGTTTCCACTCATGCCCTTGCTGGAAGACCATTCTAAACTGGTTATATGATGCTTTTACAGGTGGCCCCTTCCCTCATGGGAATTTGGCCGAGCTCACTGTGACATTGAGCTGGTGAACTCAACAAGTCTGCTCAGCAGGGAGGAATTAGTCCAGCAGATCTCATGCTGAGGACCGGAGGCACCAGTGATGTGGAGTTTAAAAAGAGCAGCAGTTTATTTACAGTTAGACTCCTTTGTATCATAGCAACAGGATGGATAACATGGCAAAAACCTAGCCTGATCTTCTTCCCCTTCTCCCTCATGTCTCCATTGGCAGCCTCGCTTCCCTTCCCATGGCCAAAGCTTGCAGAGTTGGTGTCAATCAAGTCTGAGTTGTCATTTTCTCGTCCCATCCAGGCCCTTCCTAGATCCTGCTGTTGCGTTCTCTGCATTTTGGAAACTCGTTCCTTCCTCTCTATCCCCACTACCAAATTCATCCATTCTGTGGCACCCTGACCGATGACCACCTTGATTTTACGATGTGTATTGCGGTTGCGCCTAGGAGCTAAGGTCATGGCCCAGGACCCCATTGTGTTAGGCACTGAACAAAGACTTCTGCACCCACCTGTTTCTCTCCTCTCCCCTGTTCCAGTCCACCCACAGTGCAACTGCCCATCTCTTCCTTTCCCCCCACCTTAATCATGTCTCCCTCTTCTTTGCACCTCACTCAGCGCTCCCCAAGACTTTGGGTGCTGGGGCTTGCTCTTCCCTGGCAGATGTGTGCCTTATTTCTAATGTGAATATTCAGTTTTTGAATGAAGCTGCATTTTCCTTGAGCTGCTTTCGAGAGAGCATTGCTTGTTAGAGCGCTTTGTCCTGATAGAACTCGGTGGGTGGGGGAGGTTTAAAAACTATGCCTCTCTGTAGCTTTTAGGTAGTGCGTTTTGGTGGGAAAAAATAGCAAGGTAAAAAGCCCCTAAAACGTGAGATGATGTGATACCTTGGTTTGATGTGGATGTCATTAATAAGTTGCTGTTCTGGTTGGTCTTTTAGTAGTGGACTCTGTCTTTGATCTGTGATAATCATAATACTTAACAAGGGACATTTTCCCAGCACTGTGCAAACAGTAACTCAGTTTGCTTGCCTGTTTCTACAGTCGGTGATCTAATTTCTGCACCTGTCATTTGTTCTCAGTAAATACTGTTATTGCCGTGGCGCATCTGACGCAGCTGGCCGGGCTGTTGTCTTTATTCACTAACTGCATCCTCTCTGGTCTGAGTTGGCTCCCAGTTGCTTCTACAAGACTGGCACAAAGGATGAAATCTATCCTAGTCCTTCTCTGATATATTGCTTTAGACTGAAACTTGGGGGGAGGGAGAAGGCTTGCTATGGAAACTGAGTTACTCAGGGAATTGAAATGGGATATGGAGCCTTATACCTCTGTTAATCCACAGCAAGGAGAGCAGCCACATAACCTGGGGGGGCCACCTGTACGGGAGAGAGGGGAGCTCCGTCTGACTCATTTCAATCCCAGTGTCTCTCCAAAGGTTCCAACAAAGGGGAGCAAATAGTGTAAAGAAAAATATAGGCTCCACACCAGGAAACTTTGCAAATACAAAAGGCAGTTAGATTGTGGCTACAGCTGTTCTCAATAAACTTCTGACTCTGGAACCGATCTTGGAAACTTGTTGTCAAATAAGGCTCTTCTACTGTCCATATCAGAGCTGGCCCATTTTGCCTCCGAAGCTGCAGTCAGCAGGGAGTTAGTGGCTTAGACCGTTACTGCTGGGGAAGATGGGCTGAAAGCGGTATCTTCTTGACTTCGGCCTGGTCTACACTAAAAGTTAGGTTGACCCAACTACATCCCTCAGGGTGTGTGAAAAATCCACACCCCTGAGTGATATAGTTAAGCTGACCTACCCCCTGGTGTAGACAGCACTTGGTCAACAGAATAATTCTTCCATCGACCTAGCTATCCCCTGTCAGGGAGGTGGATTACCTACGCTGATGGGAGGACCCCTTCTGTCGATGTAGGTAATGTCTACAGCAGCGCAGTTGCAGTGTTTCAAGTGTAGACAAGCCCTTAGAAGAGCTTTCCAGAGTCAAAGCAGTGTGAAAAGTGTCTCAAGCCTCCTGCTGTGGGACATCTACACAGCCAGAGTTGCTTGCTCTAGTTCAAGCTGCTGTAAACGTACTCATCTAAGAACTCAAGCAGTGGGGAAATGCATTCATCTGCAGTAGGCCACAATGAGGGGTGAATTGCTGATGTTCACCATAGCCCATGCTCTTCTCTAGGCCATTGGGGATTCAAAGAGTTTAAAGCCAGAAGGGACCATTAGATCATCTAGTCTCACATCCTGTATATCATAGGCCACCAACACCACCCACTTACCCCTGCATTGAGCCCAATAACTTGTGTTTGGCTAAAGCATATCTTCCAGCAAGGCAGTCAGCACTGATTTGAAGACATCAGGAGATGGAGAATCCACCATTTCCCTTGGTTGTTTGTTCCAAAGGTCAATCATCTGCACTCTTAAAAAACGTGTGCCTTATTTCTCATTTAATATGTCAGGCTTCAGCTTCGAGCCGCTGGGTCTTGTTCTGCCGTTCTCTGCTAGATTCAAGAGCCCTTCGATACCTGGTATTTTCTCCCCATGAAGGTACTTAGACCCTGTAACAAAGTCACCTCTCAGTCTCCTTTTGAATGAACTAAACAGATTGAGCTCTGTATGCCTCTCACTGTAAGGCATTTTTTGCTGTTCTCAAATCATTGTACACCCTGGCCAGTTTTTCAACATCCTTTTTAAAATATAGAGACCAGAACTGGGCACAGTATTACAGTATTGGTCTTGCCAGTGCCGTACAGAGTTAAAATCACTTTCTGCTTGTACTCACTGCTCCCCTGTCTACACATCCAAGGATCACATTAGCTCTTTTTGCTGCAGCATTGCACTGGGTGTTCATGTTCAATTGCTTGTCCACTCTGACCCCTAAATCCTTTTCAGTGTTCCTGCTTTCCAGAATACAGTCCCCCATTTAGAAGGTCTGGCCTGCATTCCTCGTTGCTAGATGTCTCCCTTTGCATTTGGCTGTATCAGTCTCTGCTCTGGTCGTGTAGCTCCCATTAATAGGTTCAAGATATGGAGCAAGAGAATTCAGCCTAGAAAATAAACTGATGTGTGTGAAGTAAAGCCCCGAAAGGGATTATCCCCAACGGTCGTTGTTCTGAATTTGAGAACTCCCAGGCAGTGTAGAGCAGAATGCCATCTTGGAGGCTGTCCTGCGGCTGTGAAATCACAGTGAAATCAGCAGCGTCTCCTCTTTGGGGTTGGTTTTGTTGGTGTGTTTTTTTAAAGCAGGAAGAAATGTTGCATTCACAAGCTCACAAAAACAGCCTGTTCTTGATGCTAGAGCATTGGCCCACCTGGCAATGATCTATTCAAATAAATGTTAGTTACTGCACGGACTTACATTACATGTGCACGGCTCTCCCTTAGTACTTTAGCCTGCTGAAATGGAGAGCTGTTTCCTTTTAACTGGCCTCCAGGACAGTTCTCAGCCTACTACAATATAGTGAGCCCATTCCTGCCGTGAAATAGTGTGTATTTGTCTGTCTCTCTTTGCTGACACAGTTCTCTGCCTTCCTAATTGTCCCTTCCTCCTCAGCTCATAAAATCTAGGAGTTAAACAGTCCCTCCCATAATGTTCCCAGGTTTTTAAAATAGACCTGTAAGCTGTTCCTACAAGAACACAGAGTACTGCAGAAACGAACGTGGCATTAGTCTGCTCCCTGTGTGTATAGAATGAGCTGAAAAGTAGTGGAGTGAGGTGTGTGTATATTAATGTAAACTTTTCTCCTACCGTCATTAGACTTCTTTCCTTCCCTCCCTACCCTTGTAACCATCTGTTACTCCCTGAGATCTTCTGGCTGCCCAGTGCTGTAAGCCCTTTGGTGGTGGAAGGGCCGCAGCTAATGATCTGAGCTGAGTTTCTCTTGGCTAGATTGGGTGTAGTGCACTAATTAATACCTAAAGGTCTCTCTAGCAGGAGTTGCGTTCTACCTTGGTGGAGGAGTGGATTTCCCAATTGAATGGGCCTCGTATATTTCTAACTGGCGTGTGATCCTACATTCTATTTTAGAGACCTTTCAATAAAGGGAACACATCACCCTGGTTAGATTCCAGTGCCCACGCTTCCGTCCATCGGCAACCTCGGAGCTGACCCCCTCTGCACATCTTGATCACCCAAGGAGTCAGGAGGATGGAACAAGGCCCTCTTTGAAATGTCCAGCTATAAACACTCTGCTCCCACACAATAATTCTAAAACTCCCCAGCCTGTAGCTGAGAGACACTGCGGAGGATTTCACTCCAGAGTCCAACCACTGACCTCATTGCCTTGAAATGCAGCTCCAGCATGGATGTAGGCTCCATGCTGAGTTCAATGGGGAGACACTGGAATTAAGCTGCTGGTTCATGAGTCAGAGCATTTTAAACTGGCAAGCAGGGTGGATATAATTAGGCTTGGCCTGCGTCGTCTGTGTGTGCTGCTTCCTGCAGCACTGAAGCTCTTAGTCACAGACACAGCCCTTCAAACAACCAAGTTCTTGTTATTGGCTGGAGGTGCAAAACTCAACTGGCCGACTGGTGGGAGAGTTCGACCGTCTGATTCCAGGTGGCTTCACAGTGTAGTGGCAAAGGGTCAGTTTTGAGATATGCAGTAAAACATTTCCATGTCCCATCTTCAGGATGTCACTCTGGACAGGATGTCACTGAGGGTCGCCCCACCATTTCGCCCACTCCCTGGGCTTTTCACAGGGTGGATCCAGGAGAGATTTGCTTTTTGGTGGAGCTCACTGTATAGCATCTGCAACAAAGTGCAGTGATAAATGGTTGTGTCCGTTACCTTGGCGCTTCAGTGCGTAGAGGGCTCAGGTGAGATTAGCACTGCATCTGCCAGCGTGGCCGCCCCAGCCATCCTCTGTAGAAGCACCTGCTGGCAAGTCCCCTGTCTGTTCTGAGCACTGAGCCCTTCTTCCTCTCTTTAGTTTTCAGCATCTCCCCCTCAACCCTTTCCTGGAACAGAGAAGAAAAGATCCGTCTTACCCCAGCTGTCTCGTGATGCAGTGGCAGACCCCTGCCCTGCCACATCTCCCCAGTGTGGGAAACCATAACCTCAGAAGCCTTCCCCCAGTGGGAACTGCACCTATGACTTAGTTACTACATGCACACGAGCTCTAGGCCAAGGCATCACCACACTAGCTGCTGATCCTGCTCCTCCACGGGTTTTCATGTGGAGGGGCACTAAGTTGGGCACATGGCAAGGCCAAGGATGCATAGCAGCTGCAGTACAGTCCATACCCAGTTACCGCGATTTGCCAGCAGTGCCTCTTTGCGCTTGCACATGCCATCCCAGTAATTATCCATGTACAGTCCTAAAGTGGAGACACAGCAAGGGCTCAAGCACTTTTCTAGGTAAATTCTTAACAAAACGCACAGCGCTCACGGAGCGCTCTCTGGAGCCTGACCCTCTGAAGTAGCTTTCTCATACGGAACCATTTCTCAGTCTCTGTTGACTCGTGTGTATCTGCAAGCAGAACACCACATGCTGGTAACGAGTGCTGGGGAAACTTGGCTGCCACAGTGTAGAAGCGAGGCCTGCTGCTGCTGCGTTTGTCCAACCTTTCCTATACGGAACTGAGCAGGAGGGTCTGAATTTCAGCATGGCCATCCATGATTAAAGCTAAGCCACCAAGAAGGGCCTGATCCTGAGAGGGGCCAGGTCCTGCAGCACCCATTGAAGCCAGCAGAAGTTGCAGGTGCCTGTTTTAGGCCTGCTATGAGCCAAGTGTGTTTTGAAGTGCACTATTATCAGTTGTGTTTGACGTAACCACTGTTCTGTTCCTGCCCCTCAGCCAGTTCTGAAGCCAGGGCGACGGAAGCTCCCTAAAAGTGGAGGGAGTCACTGGTGCCGGAACCATGGCCCCGCTTCCTAGTGCCACGCCTGCTCCTGATGCCCTGCCCTTCCCCAAAGGGCCCGCCCTCACCCCGCCTCTTTCCTCAAGACCCCGCCTCCACTCACTCCTCTCCCCCTCCCTTCACGTCATTTGCCCTTACTGCCAGGAATGGCCCCCTGGGCCCCCGCTTTTCCGGCATCCCTCTCTGAAGCCCCCTCCTCAGCATGAAGGCGAAGGGAGGGGCTCTGCTGGGCTGTGGCTCATCCAGACTCTCTCCTTTGCTGTGTTTGTATAGATTAGCTCCCCTTCAGCACTGCCGAGGCAGTGCTACATCCCCTAGGCCAGGGGACGGCAAACTATGGCCCACGGACCAGATCCAGCCCGTCAGGGCTTTCAATCTGGCCCGCGGAATTGCCAGCCCCATGGCGCAGCATGGCTAAGGCAGGCTCCCTGCCTGCCCTGGCCCCACGCTGCTCCCAGAAGCGGCCGGCACCATGTCCCTGCGCCCGGGGGGGGGGGGGGGGGAGGGGGCCCCGCGCTCCCCCCGCCCCCCCCCCCCCCCCCCCCCCCTCCGCAGCTCCCATTGGTCGGGAATGGGGAACCGCGGTCAATGGGAGCTTTGGGGGTGGTACCCACAGACAAGGGCAGTGGCAGAGCCGCCTGCCCCCCTTCTCCCCCCCCCCGGGAGCCACTGCCAGACATGTTGGCCACTTCCGGGAGCGGCACAGGGCCAGGGCAGGCAGGGAACCTGCCTTAGCCCCACTGCACACTGCTGCCACCCCGGAGCCACTCAAGGTAGGTGGTGCCAGGCCGGAGCCTGCACCCCAAACCCCTGCTCTGAGTCCCCTAACCCCCTGCCTTGAGCCCCCTGCCACACCCATCCTGCACCCCAACCCCTTGCCCTGAGCCCCTTCCTGCACACCGCACCCCCTCCCACACTCCGCACTCCCTCCTGCACCCCAACCCCCTGCCCCAGCCCTACATTCGTGGCCCTGCATACAATTTCCCCACCCAGATGTGGCCCTTGGGCCAAAAAGTTTGCTTACCCCTGCCTTAGGCTGTGGCATGGCTCCGGGTGCCAGCCCATTCTCTCCCTTGTTACAGGTGAAGTGACTAAAATGGAATAAATTCAAATGGAGCAGCCGTGACTCCTAGGCTAAGTGATGTCCCTTTCTTTCCTAGGTGGATCGGGTGAGTTACCTGCTTCAGGAGATCTATGGCATCGAGAATAAAAACAACCAGGAGACAAAGGTACTGGTGCCTAGAAACCCCCTTCTGCACGCTGAGTCACATGCGGGGCCTGGCTTTGCTGCCAGCCGGGCTTGGCTTCTCCTTGGAGTTTGTTTATGGGCTGATACTTTATGTACCGGAGGTGACGGGGGGATCAGAGACTCCTCACAGCCGCTGCCCCTCACTCAGTTTGGGATTGAAATAGGCCATGTTACCTTACTACTAATCATGGCAGGCCAGGCCCTTCTGTTGTGATGCCACAGTCAGTGGTGAATTTGTCCCCTTGGGTTTTGTTCGGCAGCATGAGGATGGGTGCTGTGCCTGACATTCAAAGGAGCTAGAGGGAGTTAGGCACCAGCTGCTGCTGAGTTTCAGTGGGCACCTCTCTGCATAGCCCATACCAATAACGATCTATCACGAGAAGAGCCGTGCCAGTCTCAGCTACTGTGTGCTCTGTCTCTGGTGCCCTGCACAGGCTGCTTCCCAGCCCAGAAATGTCTTCCTTTTCCTTCCCCAGAAGTGGCCCTTGATACCACCCCCACCCCAACCCCCGAGATCGCTCCTTGCAACTGACTCATCCATCAGCACAGGGCAGGCTGAGGAGGGCTCTCTCCTCGTGATCCCTGAGGTTTGCTACTGTGGCTGCGCTGTTAGTGTGTGCAGGCTGGCTCCTCATTGCCAGGGGTTAAGATTCCCCGTGTGCCGGGTCTGCCAGTGCAGTGCATCCCTTGGGCATGGGCAGGTGTTGGAATGGACTGCTGTTCTCTGCATGTCCCTGCAGCAGTGGAGGAGTTGACTCTGGGGAGTCTCACTAGTGCCAAAGAGATTATATGGAAAATACTTCAACTACAAACATAATCAGCCCCTTCTTGAGAAGACAAGCCTGGAATTTGATCCTGGGTTCTTATTTATTGCATGGCCTTGGGCAAGTCATGTAACTTCTCTGAGCTTCAGTTTACCCATCCGTAATGCTGACCTTTCCAGCTTGGGGGACGGGGGGAGAGGCTGAGAGTATTCATCTGTGAAGTGCTCTGCAGATAAGAAGCATGGTGAGTGTCAGGTGTTGGCTGCTACAAATTCGACTGCTTTTGTGAGTGCTGTACTCGATTCCCCAATGCTGCGCTTGCGGGAGGGAGCGGGGTTCGGAAGGGAACTGAACAGAGGAAGCCCCGCCCCTTCTCCCCCAGCCTTTTCCCAGTCCTGTGCTAACCATCTGTGCCCTCTGTGTGGCTGCTCCACCAAGTAGCACCATCGGGAGGCTGGGAACTTTTTTCAGATCCTATTACCTGGTCTCCTAAGAGACTCCTCTTTGTGCTCCTGCTGTCTTCTGATGAGCCCTTGGACTCAGTTCTTTCAGACAGAGCCCAGTCAGTTCGTGACTTCGGGCTGTTTGTCGTTCAGTTCCAGTACACTGAGCAGCCAGTGTGAAAAGGGGAGAGGAAGGACGTCCTTGCGCAACATGCAGGAACCCTGAAATAGATCAAGAGCGCACACGATGTGCGCAGGCAGCTTCCAGCCGCTCACTAGCGTGGTCAGCGGGCTGGCTCGCTCATCTGGCAGGAGCAGATGCTGTCGTCTTGTTTACGTCTCGGTCGCCTCACAGTGCGGTGTGCGGCCCGGTGTGCGTCAGCAAAGGGAACTCACGCGAAAGGACGAGCATGTCTGTGCACATGGTTGGGCCCCAACAATTGTGACTGCTTCAGCAAGGGGTGCTGGTGTGGGGGGAGCAGGGTCTACTGGGCTGGAAAGATCACCCCGCCCCTCCCCCCCCAGCTCCAGCAGAGGGAGCTGCTGTGACTGGGAGCAAGTTCCTCTTTGTAGCAACTGCTGCATTTGAGTGTCAGCTGCAAGTTGCAGGGCTTTGTTTAATGAAAGCCGTATAATAGAGCCCAGACTGCACCAGTGTTACACCAAGGGGGACGGAGGCATCTTCCCTCTCCCACCCTAGGTATCTCACTTTGAACAAGGCCACAAACTCCCTGCAGCAGCCTGTGGCCCCGGGGCTGCTTCGAGGCCCTTGAGGCTCTGCATTGCGGCCCTGGAGGGTGACTGTCACAAGTGTTGGATTCTGAATGGACAGTGCTCCCTGAGCTGCATCCAGGGCTTCGAAATTAATGTGTGTGAATTAGCAGGAGGAGATGGTAGGTGCCATCACCTCCCACTGCCGCTACCCCAGCATCCCCGGTGCAGCTCTGGTTTGAGCTGTGGGCAGCTGCTGCCCCTTCCCTCCTGCTGCTCAGCAGCTCCCCTGCTGGTTGTCTGTTCGGTTGCAGGGGAAGAAGGCTGGACAGGAGCCTTAGACTGTCCTCCTGTAGGACACAGGCCAGGGATCTGCCCCAAAATGCTTCCTAGAACAAATGTTTTTCTAAACATCCAGTCTTGGTTTTAAAAGTTGCCAGTGATGGAGAATCCACTACGACCCTTGGTAAATTGTTGCAGTGGTTAAAAAGTGTATAGTGTGTTAGACCTTTCTGTGCTAGACTGAAGAGCTTATTATCAAATATTCATTCCCCGTGTAGATACTCATGGACTGTGATCATCACCCCTTAACCTTCTCTTTAAGTTAAATAGATTGAGCTCCTTGAGTATGGATTGCAGCCCCTTTACCTTTTGAGCCATATTTCACCTTTGAGCTGCAAGGACCTCATTGGATTGCAGTGTCCCTTTCCATCCCTGCGAAGCACCTACATTCACATGGCACTGCCTCTCTTCTCGTAACAGCCTTCCGACGATGAGAACAGTGACAACAGCAACGAGTGCGTGGTGTGCCTGTCCGACCTGCGAGACACCCTCATCCTGCCCTGCAGGCACCTGTGCTTGTGCAATTCCTGTGCAGACACCCTGCGCTACCAGGCCAACAACTGCCCCATCTGCAGGCTGCGTGAGTACACTCAAGAGAGGGCGCTGGTCTCGCTGCCATCCAGTGGGTAGCTGCAGTCTCCCCGTTCGGGTACAAAAGCCCTAACCTAGCTGGGCAGGGGTGGCTTTACCTACCAGCAACACAAGTGACTGGTTGGTGCCCTGGGATCGTGGGTGGGGCAGTAACTTGTTGTCTGATTCTCTCCCCTCCCGCTTGGCCAGTGGGACCAAAAGGGGAGGCAACATCCAGATGGACTGCAGCCTGCTTAGGTTCCTCCACCCAGTGTCCAAGCAACGTGTACCTTCATCTTCCTTTCAGTCCACTCACTCTGTGTGTCAAGCTGGCAGCCCCATCTGGGAGAGGAAAGGGGCGTGTCTTTTATATAAGCACCCCCGTTTTTCCTGAAGTAAACTGTCACTCTAGAGGGTTGATGCTAAGTCACTGACATTCTATTAAATCAGTGGCGCTCTTGCGAGTGAGGAGTCTGTTCGGCTTCTGCCACCAGCCTGCTTTTCGTCCGGCACGTGGAGGTGTTAAATCCTTTCCATATCGGCTAATTCAGGGCCTATTCATTCAAAAAATGAATGCCTGATGCAGAGCAGAGTAACTGCAGCCCTGTCTCCAGCTAAGTGCCCTGTTAATATTTCAGCAGTTCCTGGGAATCAGACGGCAAATTGGATTAGGTCACAAGCATGTCCCCATGCTGTGAGCTAATCAGGCCGGTTGGGGGGTTGCAAGTTGGGCCTCGGCTCTCATGAGCTCTTCCAGGCATGAGCATTCTTCTGAGCCCCGGGAGGGCCTAGCATGGACACAAGCTCGTTGAATTGTAACCAGTGTATCTCTGGGGCTGGGTGGCTAACCTTAAACTAAGCAGCTCAGTGTTATGGTTTGAAAGGGCCTGAAGCAGTTGGCTTTCCCTGCTTGTTTGTTGGCCACCCCAAAGCCATATGATCAGCAGGAATCAAACCATGGTATCCGATGTATTGAATCTATTCCATACTCACCTACCTCTTCAATTACTGCCCCATCTCTCCTGTACCCTTCACCTCCAAATTCCTCAAACATGTATTTACAGCTGTTGCCTTGAGTTCCTCTCCCCCTGCTCCATCCTGGATCCCCTCCAGTCTGTCCTCCGCTTACTGTCTTGGACTGTAAGATCTTTGGGACAAGGCCTGTCTTGGTATGCATTTGTGGAGTGCCCAATATACTGGGAAGCTGACCCTGCTTGGGGTCTCTGGGTGCTACTGCAGTATAAATATTTAAGCGTCCCCGGCTGCTTCAGAAGATAGTGTTCTCTCTGGTGCTCATAAATGCACCAAATATGACTCCTGGGGGAATTCTGTGCCAAAAAATTTAAAATTCCGTGCACAATATTTTAAAATTCTGCAAAATGCTGCATATTTTATTTGTCAAAATAACACAAAATAATCACACCAGTTTCAATTATTTTTGGTCATTTATTTCAAAATACCTGTCGGCAAGTATGTCTGTAACAATACAGACAACAAAAAAAGATTCAGGAAATGTTTTTTGACAAATAGATTCCTTACTAGACATATTAATACAGAACTCTGAGTAATAATTAATTTAAACTGCAACACAGAACCATATTTCCCACACCCCCAGAAGCAGTGCACAGGCTGGGGGGAGTCAGGGGTAATGGAGGAGCTGAGAGAGAGGGAAATAATTGCTGAGAAAAGATCAGAGAAATGGGGAGGGGGGCAGTAGCTTTATAGGTCCTTAATTGAAAGGATGGGGATATTTAAATCTTCAACAGAGACTTTTAAATGGTCCCACTAGACATCATTTCTCCTTGTCATTCCTTGGGTTTCACTTCCTTGATACTTGTGATATCACCTTAGTTCTTTAGCCCTCCATAAGAACGGCCATACTGGGTCAGACCAAAGGTCCATCTAGCCCAGTATCCTGTCCTCTGACAGTGTCTAATGCCAGGTGCCTCAGAGGGAATGAACAGAGCAGGGAATCAACAAGTGATCCATAGAGTACTCCAAGAAAAAGAACCCTCCCCGCTCAAAAGTAACCTCTTTTTAAATAGAAAACTCTTATGCTTTTGCTGTTTACATAACAAAAACAATGTGACGAAGCCACAAAGGTGCAGTTGGGTCCCAAATAATCATGTTAATTAAATATATGCACACGCACACGGCCTGGCTTCATATATACTGCCGCTCTGGCTGGTTTCTGGTGGCTTCTAAGACCTAGAACGTAGTGTGCACCATAGAGCGCTCTCAAACTCCTCTGTTCTAGACACCACAGAATCCCTTTCAGGCATTCTTTATGCATAAAAAAGCAAACAAAGAAAACCCCTATTTGTTTCCAGATCACCATTAAAAAGGATAGCTGGGTCTTCAGAAGATCCTGTGGAAAAAACAGCATCTGATCATGTAACTAAAGACTATATCATAATGCATTTGCATTGGGGAGCAGGCAAATTAAGGTTGTACAGACAGGAAATACCAGATTTAAGGCTAACTTATGAGTGCTTCACTGTACAATCTTAACATTCTTTTGAACATAGTCTTTTATATCATTTTCCTTTTTTTAAGAAAAACTTACTGAAAAAACTGATGCCCTCATGTGGAACCATATTGGCCCTCACATGGGTCACCAGCGGGTTTGGGATCTTTAGATCCACAGCACAGATCTCTGCCGCTTGAGCTGAGTAACTGGTAGTAATAGAAGGCTGTTATCTTCCTTGTGAACTGGCCACTAGAGGGAGATGAGAGCTGTGAAACCTACTGGCAGAGTGTTTCTATTTGCTGACAGTAGAGGAATGTAGAACTCAGGAGTAGACAGAAGTGGGGGGAAAGGATAAGAACTGGGTTGGGAGGAAGGCACACTGGGGGGAGACATGCTGAAGTGTGTAGATATTTTTTTTTAATAACTACTAGATAAAACAAGTGATTGTGCACATGTATGTTACACTGCAGGCATACGGGTGCCCAGTGCATTCAAGTCAAAGGCTTTTGCCAGCAGTACCACTAGGTGGCACATGCACTCCTACTCTCCCTGTGCATTGAGCCAAGGCCACGAAAGGGGCATGTCCGCCGCCTCCCTCTCTGTTCCTTGGCACGGACAGGCACAAAAGCTGCTTAATCTAACTAGGGAAAGGTCTTGTGAGGGACAGATATCCAGTTTGTATCTCTTCCCCCACTAAAAGAAAAAAGCAGAGGAATTTCTGCTGAAAAGTTCACTGTGGTGGTTGGTTTGCCTTGGAACTGAACCCGCACGTTAGATGATGATGGATTCTGAATCCACAAGGAATGCCCCTCCAGCTGTCCACATCTCGGAGTGCAAGTCAGGAGAAAAGCACTGCTCTTCCTCTCACCGTCAACCTCCTCAAAGCACCTGAAACATTCCGATGCTGACAAGCAGTTGTAATCTCAGTCTTCACCGAGCAAGCCTTCCAGTAAGTCCTTCAGTACCGGTTCGAGGCATTGTAAACATAAGCACTGACCAGCTCCATCAGACTCCAGTTCCTCCAGGGCCATTGAGTCCTGTGCCTTTATCTTTACTGGGCCCCTCTTCACCTGTACAGACAATCCAGACCACCTTGGCAATGCTGGATCCACCAATGATCGAGTCAGTGCCTCTGGCTCCTTAAGCCTTCCTGTCTGCAAGAGATCTTGGGTGTCTCCTTTTACTAGCTTCTCCATTACTGCAGCATCCAGCTCTGGTATTGACCACCACAGGGTCTTTGGCATTCTCAGTGCTATCAGCACCATTGGCCCTGTCCATACTGTAGACACACCTGGCAGCATCCACACAGACACATCTGGTGTGGTAGACATTGCCAGTATTTTCAACATACCCAGGACCACCGATGAAGTCAGCTTTGCCAGCGCGATAAGCACAACCGAAGCCTTTGTCATCACTGATACAGTCAACTTCAACACTGCCAACACTCATTACCTCATCGGCATTCAGACCTCCTTATCCCGTGCTATATACGGACTGCAGGGCCTATCTCTCTCAAGACCCCTATGAGCCCCAACAGGAATGCTCCCTCTGTTCCCTGAGGAGTCATACATTCCCTCTTCAGACTCGGAACTCTGTCACCATCCTGACCTTTCAGATCACCTCATAGACATCATGACGGGGCACAGATTTTAAGGACTATGACCTGTCTTTTTTCAAGGAAGCCCCAAGATGGTGCCCTCCACTGTGGGAGGCTCCAACTGTGGAGTTCCCCCCTTGGCCATACTGGTCGTGGCCCATTCCAAGGGAGCTGAGACCTCCTTCAGAATCTCAGACCAGCCGGGGTCCCCTTCTCCAGTCCAAGAAGCCATTCACCAGGCTCCTCCGACTGTCCCCTATTGAGGAGGATGAGATACTCAAGTAACCCCTGGATGTCCCTCCGTGCACTTCTTCATAGTCTCCAGACAAGGCTGTCACCCGCAGAGTCACCTCCAGAGGACTTCAAGGTCGTCCAGGACCTAATGAGAAGAGAGGCCTATTCTTTAGGAGTGCAGGTGAAGTTCGTTCAAGAAAATCTGCACAGTCTCTTTGATGCTGCACAAACACCTGCTATGGGAAATGTGGTCCTTCCCATTGAAGAAGCCCTGCTTGAGGCCAGAGAAAACCCTTGGGCAGACCCCAGCTTCTATTCCACCTGCAGCCAACAGACTGGAAAGATGCTACCAAGCTCCTCAAATGGATTCTGATTGTTATCAGTTATCACACTCTCTGATGTCTCCAACTCACTGGTGGTTTTGGCTGCCAATGAGCATTCCCACCTGTCTCATCTCAAAGCCAAGCTTAAAGACAAGTTGCTCAAGAGACTGGCTATATATGGCAGGAAAGCTCACTCTACAGTTACTCTGCAGATGAGGGTGGCTAACCGTCAAGTTCTCCTGTGAAAATATAATTGTATTAATTTTACAGCTTTAGCCAGACTACCAGAGAAGCCTAGGGAACAGTTTATGGCTCTGAAGGGCACCTCATGGCAAAAACATCCCTCCACGTAGCTATTGATGCAACTGATATGGCCTTGTGATCCATGGCCACTGTCCTTGCAATGAGATGTTCCCCGTGGCTCCAGGTGTCTGGAATTCCAAAGGAGCTGCAATCTGGGATTTGCCATTTGAGCAGTCTGAATTGTTCTCTCAAAAGACTGACGTCGTCATGTGCACCCTGAAAAACCTGGACGACTGAGATCAATGGGGGTGTACACCCCAATCTAAAAGAGGAAACAGTTTAGACCTCTGCCCTACCACAGATCACATTTCCAGCAGAGATTCCAGGACTCTTAAGAGACGATCCAGGCCTTCTCAATGGCACCAGATGGCTTTGTCTCCATCAGGCCCTTCTCACTAGACATCAACAGCCTCTTAACAGTCACTTTGACAGCATACCAGTTTCTCCAAGTATCCCACCTTTTGAAAGATGCCTATTGCACTTTTACAGTGCTTGGAACTGAAATAACGTCAGACAAATGGGTGCTCAGCACTGTGAAGAGGAATGTGTTATCCGGTTCACCTCCCTCTCCCCAGCCCACCTTCCCTGTCCCTTTTCAGGGACCAACTCAGAAGAGTGTATTATTCTAAGAAGTACAGTCTCTTCTGCAATTGAGTGTAATAGAAAAGGTTCATTGTCATCACAGAGGGATTCTATTCCTAATTCCCCAAAACTTCCAGGAAGTTGAACCGCTTTATTAAGAAAATCAAGTTCCAGATGGTCACCCTCGCTTCCATTACCCTTCACTGGAGAGTGGAGATTGGTATGCTGCCCTTGATGTGCAGGACACATACTCCTGATAATACATCCAGGCCACAAGAAGCACCTTCACGTTATAGCTTGAGATACACGCAACCAATACCCGGTGCTCCCCTTTGGCTTGGCACGTGTATCGGCCATGTCCCTTACCTAGACAATTGGGTAGTGTGCAGTGCCTCAAGCATCCAAGTCTGCAGCAGCATCCTGATCAGAGGCTCTTGTCTGGGCCTGAAACTGAATTTAGACAAAGTTACAGCCAACGCAGCTCAAACTCCCTGTCAGGGCCGGCTCCAGGCACCCAAGCTGGTGCTTGGGGCGGCACCTGGAGGGGGGCGGCGCGGCGCTCCGGCCGCCGGGGAGAGGGGGGCCACAGCAGGGCTCGCCGCCCTCCCCCCGGCGCTCTGGCCGCCCTCCCCCCTGGCGCCCTGCCCCCGGCGCTCTGGCCGCCGGGGGGGGAGAGCCGAGCCCCCGCCGGGGCTCGCCGCCCTGCCCCCGGCACTCTGGCCGCCGGGGGGAGAGCCGAGCCCCCACCGGGGCTCGCTGCCCTCCCCCCCGGGGCTCCCCCCCCCCCCCCCCCCCGTGGGGGGGGAGGGGCGGCCGGAGGCTTTTTCGCCTAGGGCGGCGAAAAAGCCAGAGCCGGCCCTGCTCCCTGTAACCTCTGGCTTCAGGCTGCCCCTGCTAGCAGCTGAGTGCAACAGGGAAACTGACTAATCCCTGGGTTGTCTTTAAGCACAAGCAACCTGCAAGCTGCATAAGTTGCAAGCCTGGTATATTCATAGGCTCCCTTTAACCTAAGTCTGAGCAAAGTGACAAAATTAGAGCTCTCCAGAGAGTGAGTTGGGGCAAGAAATGAGATGGAGGCAGGGTGAATTGACGTAAATCGTCACATGGACAGCCTTGATTGAAGTAATCAATTTAAATCAACTTTTCCACCTGTACTTCAGTTATTTCTACAGAAAGGTGCCTTGTCATTGGTTGATATAACCATTAAAACATGTTGATTTACAACTAAATAGAGCCTTTACACTAGATTTAGGACATCTTTTTGTACCTAGGACAGTACACTATAACTACATACATTTATTTAAGCAATTATATAGCTTAATATTTTCAAATTCTTATTAATTGTATATTTTTAGTATGTTAGAAAATGGTGAATGATATATTGTTTATTTACTAGCTAATTAACTTTTTTCTCAGAATTTGTGTTAAGCTGCAATAGGATGGTAACTGGAATTTAATTAAACACACAAAACAGCACATAAAATTGATTTTTTATTAAACAAAATAAGCCCTTAATACAGTGCATTACCTAATGTGCCATATTTATAAAGCTTGACCTCAAAAGTTAGATGTGTTCCCTGGATTCTTTACACCAGGGTTCAGCAACGTTTGGCAAGTGGCCCACCAGGGTAACCCCCCCGGCAGGCCAGGCCACTTTGTTTACCTGCAGCGTCCGCAAGTTCAGCCGATCGCAGCTCCCACTATTCACCACTCCAGGCCAATGGGGGCTGCGGAAAGCCGCGGCCAGCACATCCCTCATCCCGTGCCGCTTCCCACAGCCCCCATTGGCCTGGAGCGGCGAACCGCGGCCAGTGGGAGCCGCGATCCGCCGAACCTGCAGACGCGGCAAGTAAACAAACCGGCCTGGCTCGCCAGGGGGCTTACCCTGGTGGGCCATGTGCCAAAGGTTGCTGATCCCTGCTTTACACCAATAAAGCAGACACTTTATCTCAGAATTTTTGATAGAGGCTCGTGGAATCCGTATATTTATTTTTTATTTAAATGTTTTTAAAAATTATAGTAAGTTTAGGCCTTAACGTATTTTGTATTAAATTCAGATTTCATTTTAAACAGGTTTCTTTTTAAAAAGAAAAACTTGTAATTTAAATAGCAACCCTTGATTTATAGTGAAGAAAAAAATCTATTTTTTTCCCTCAAAAGGACCCATTGATTTGTCTGCACCCTGGGCAGAGACTCTAGGGTAGTGACATGGAGGCAAACGTGAGCCTGTGAATGAAACGTTCTGTGCAACGAAACAAGGGGGCCCGAGTTTAACCACCTTGATCCCTTTGTATGGGATGGGCCGGGACCCATTTCAGACCATCTCGGAGTCTTGTTCATTGGGGGATTTCAGCACATCTGATGTGCCTCCTACCCCAGCGTGTGAACAAGTCATCGCTTAACTCCCCCCGTTACCAGAAAATTAATACCCCATTAACAGTGGCCAGCTCCTCACCCCCACCCTGGCCTGGAGCCACAAATCTGAGGCTGAGAAATAGCAGGGGGAGCTGTGTCTTCTGCCCCCTGGTGCAGTTCTTGCAGAGCCGTCACAGAGAGCTGCTGACGGTCTCCTTGGCACTCTGCGTGCAAATCTGTCAGGGCCTGGCCTGCTTTTCTTTCTCCTTCCCACTTCTCTGGGAGTAGCCCCAGGCCTGGCCCCACCCCCCACCTCTCAGCACTAGTGCAGCACCCCATGCACAAGGGTGTCTTCCTGAGCCATGGCTGGGGCCCCTGCCAGTCTGAGGGCCTTGCAGAGCTGCCCCAAGGTGCCCGGGCCTGGTGACTGCATCTTTGCCCTGGGCCTGCGTTGGGGATCATCACAGTGTACTCGGGTACCAACTTCTGGCCTCCCGCCATGCGTCAGCCCCTCTCCTCCCTGCGGGTTACTGGCTGGGGGCAGACTGACACAGCTGGCGCTGGCAGCAGATGTAGGGCCATGCTCAGGTGAAGCAGCACCCCCCAGGTTAGTTATGAGAGTGGGCGCTTCCAGAAGGTCATGGGGCTGTATTTCCATATAAATAGAGCTGCCATTTCATTCACTACAGACGCTGCTTGGGGCCAAGGGCTCTGTCTGCTGGCAGACTGCTCCTCTCTCCAGTTTCTTGCACTAGCAGATGAGCTAAGGGGACTGGACATCAGCACTTGGCTTCCATGTGTTCAGCTGCGAGACCTTAGCCTGAAATTGGTGCCAGTCAGCTGGAGGCAGCTCCCCCCAGGAGCCCCTGCTCTCCGGGGTGCAGGGTCTCACCATGGTGAATTCTGCCCGCTAGCGCAGTGTCTGAGCCGTGTCCTAGCGGAGTGGCTGTGGCACAAGGTGGCGCTGTCTGACGCGCTGCTTTTGCCGTCTAGTCACCTGTACAATGTTCCCTCCTAGCCTTCCGTGCCCTGCTGCAGATCCGAGCCGTGAGGAAGAAGCCTGGGGCTCTGTCGCCCGTCTCGTTCAGCCCCGTCCTGGCCCAGACCATGGACCATGATGAGCACTCTGTAAGTAACTCACAACCCTGTGTGGCTTCTGGCCCTGTGTCCCCCCACCCAGCGAGCGGAAATCGGGCAGGCTCTCTGTTCTCCATGCCCAGGCTCCATTTCCATTGGCTTGGTCCGTCTGTGGATGTCCTTTCCTGAGGCTGTTGGCCAAGGCCCTTCGAACTGTGTTTGGGGTGAGCCTTTCCTACTTGGATCAGCTTCATGCTTGAGCATTCGAACCTCCTGCTCTTCTTGAACCCCTTGATAGCTGGGGAGCAGCCCTCCCCATGGCTTGTGGCTTTTCAGAATGGCTGCTACCCTCCACGCCAGGTTTATGAAGCTGTTTCAGGCCCAGTCTCCACTCTTTTGTTAGCCAGCATGACTTTGAGCGGGAACTGCCACTGTGTGCCATAGCATGAAGAGGTTTCCCTGGGCCATGCGGGATACAGTGCCTGTCCTGGAGGGGGGTGGCCCAGCTCTGGGGTTGGAAGAATAATTGGTTACAGTTTGAGCTTGTGTGTAAATCTGCATCCGCAAGTTGTTTTGATGAAATGCCGTTGGCCTCCTGATTCCCCTCTAAGGTCTGCTCGTGGGCTGGCTAATAACCCTATATGTGCAGCTCTCCTGGGGAAGCTCATATCCCAACCAGTGTAAGTACACAGCTAATTATAGTGAGATACGTGAGATCTCCCAGAGCTAGTGTGATCAGCACCACTGGGGGACTGTCAAATACAGCATTGCTTGCTGTTCTGAACGAGCCCCGTCAGGGAAGAAGGTGTAACCTAAGACAGCTCCAGTGCGTTGTTCAGAGACTTGCTCCCCTTGCCCTTGTTCTGACGTATCGCTATACGTACTCGTTGCTGTGCTCCAAAATACTGGGGCCTGCAGGTATAAACACAGTTCCCATCGTCCTGGCCCATTCCTTTGCGGACTCTAGAATGGAAGCCTCCATCCTGAACATTGCTCACAAGGGCAGGCACTGCTCGTTGTCAGTGATGTGGTTGCAGAGCAAACCACAAATAGACCCTCTTGACTGAGCGACTGGGACCCCTTCACCCCATGAGCCTGGATCACTCATCTTTAAGCTCCCCTGGCTCATGAAATCCTGTCAGAGGGGAGGAGCGGTCACTACAGACAAGAAGTGGGCGCCAGAATGCAGAGTTTGGGCATGGTATCTCCCTGACTTGACTGAGCTGAGCGAGTTTCGGTTTAAAAAAGGTCTCGGGGCTGATTTCCAGTCGGCAGTGTGGATCCAATGCTTTGCCGGGCAAAGGGCTGGGGGGCAAGACCCTCTCTGCTCAGCGTAGCAGAGAGCAGGTTTGGTTGGCCAATCGCTACTCTTCGGAAAGGCAGTCAGTACGTTGAGAGAGGTGCTGATAAGTAGCCAAGGTGGGATTTTGTGGGCAATTGTTTTACAAACTGTGACTGGAACAGAAACAGGCATTCGTGGCATTTTGTAAAAACTCAGTTACAATCAGATTTCACCCAGCAGCCTTGGAGTAGTGCTGAGACCCAGCAAATGAACCTGCCCCAGCCAGCGCGATTGCCGAAGCAGGGTGCAGAGTAAGGTGGAGACAGCCTCACGAAGAGCTAGTCAGCTAGTTATAAAGCTCTGTCTATGGGAATAGTCTCAGCTGGGAGTGACATGGGAAAGGAAAATTCTTGTTTCAAGTATGATTATGATCTTAACTGTCCCTTTAAATCCCCCAAAGTGAGCACTGTTTCCCTACCCAACAGGAAATGTGCAAGGGAAACAGTGAGTGGGTAAGCTGAGGCACGGAGAGTTTTGAGAGACTTGCCTGAAGTCCAAAGGGAGTCGGTATCAGAACACAGGGATTCCTGGCCCCCACCCTGGAACTCTGAGATCACAACCCCTTCTTTCTTGTTTTCCTGCTCCAGACTCCTAGGACTGGGCAAAAGAGCCTCTATCGAGTTCCTGTTCCACCCATGGGATTGCTTGTGGGAGCTTGTCTAGCCCCTGATCTCTTTGAAGGGTGTGTTGGGCTCTCTTTGTAAAACTCTTGTTCAGAGAGGTTGGGGTTGACAATAGCAGAGTCAAACCAAGTCTCAGATGCAAGCAGAACTGACTGGGAAAGAGACCCCTGCACACCTTGTGTAAAGCAAAACAGCTTTGGTTGTGAAGTTGCTTAAAAAAACCTCTCTAAAACTCTTCTAGTTGACAGTTGAGTGAGTGTTTGCACCTTGGGACTTGTTCATGCTTGGGGTGCAGCACAACGAATCAGCCACCACCACCGGGCAGGGGCTGCGCCTTGGCAAGCAGGAGGGGGAAGCACAGCTGAAGTATAAATGCAAGTGATGGACCTAAGAGAGGAAGGAGCGATCCATTTTTATCCCCTAGACCTATCCCATGAGGCCTGCAGCTACCCTCATCTTCAGCACCAGGGAGACTCCTGCTTCCTCTTGCTCCAAGCAGCCTGGGGGCTTGGCTCATGGTGGAGCATGGCACACTGGGACCTGTGTTCTCTGCAGGTTGCATCTCTTCATTAAAGATGAGGGCTGTTGTCTGATGCTGTTATACAAGCTTGACAGAGCCCACAGCCTCCTCGCAAGCTGCAGATGCAGCCTTCCGAGGGTCACGCAGGGCACCCTGCAGTGGTGCTGTAGGCAGAGCAATAGGCTTCAGGGACAGCTGGGTGGTTAGTGCCCAACGAGAGGGAGCCATTGCTTAAAGATGTGTGTAAGTTTCAGTGACTGATTCGCAGGGCCCTGTGTGGGCCCTGCTGTGGACTTCACTGCAGGATCCACCCCCGGCCTCAGAACTGAGCTACAGCACCTGAGCTTTCGCTTAGAAAGAAAACATAAAATCAAAAGGTTGGTTCTTGCCCCTCATGACTGTGACAAAAACGTCCCCAATATAAACCAATCTGTTACTGTCTCCTCACGTCTGCTGCCTCCTGAAACAGGAGCTCTGACCTGGTGTCTGTAAACAGTGCCCCCTCCAGCTTGGTGGGGCAATAATCCCGGAACCTGGGGGCAGTTTTAATGTCAATGCAATTAAGTATTTCATTGCTTGTTTAGCCCACTATCCCTCACTGCCTCTCCAAGTGCCTAAACCTACAATGTGCTGTACCTCGCTGCCATGTCTTCCCGCACGCATGCACCAACCTCTACCAGGCACTTGTGCTTTGTCAGAGCAGACGTTGTTGGCACTGAAAGGCATCACAAAGTGAACTGGTTATAACATCTCAGTCAGCGGCAGAGATGCTGAGCTGAACATATTCTTTATATTCCTCCTCAGCGCAATAAAAACTTCCCTTCGTGAATTTACCGGCCCGCCCCCAAAACATGAGCAGAATGGAGGTGCACTTTGCCGCTGATGATGGTGATTAATAATTGGGTTCAGTTGACATTGGTTTAACTGCTTTTAACAGGACACCATCAACATGTACTGCATATCCCCTCAGCCGCCGGTTTCCCAGTCATGTGAAAGACCCAGACAGACAACAAAGGAAACTCGCTATGTGGAGGAAGCAGCAGGAAGGGCTGTTTGATGTGCAAAAGAAATAAACTGACAAATAGCAAGCACATAAGATATTGCTCTCTCTAATCTTTCCCTTATAAAATTTTGACTGTTGTTTGAAACAGATGTGCGCACAAAACTTTAAGCTGATGATGCCCCTTTAAATTAAAGCAAAGGATTTACTGTGCAAAGAATAAAGAAGGGATCCCAGTTTCACACTGGGTCCAATTTTGTGGGGTTGCCTAACATTACCCCTGTTTTCCTCACCTGCAGAGCTCCGACAACATCCCTCCAGGATATGAGCCCATTTCGCTGCTGGAAGCATTGAATGGCCTCCGCTCCATCTCCCCATCCATCCCTTCCGCTCCTCTGTACGAGGAAATCAGCTACACCGGCGTGGTGGATGGGCTGCCCCCTGCCGGCCGCCCGCTAGCCGGGATTGACAGAGCCATGGAGAGTGGCCCTCAAAAGAGCAAGCGGAGCAAATCTCCAGACAGGTCAGCCCCAACAAAGGAACAAAGGAGTCTGCTCCTCACATGGGCCTTTTGGGTCCTCCCCAGCACAGTACAGCCCTGTCATCTCCTCCTTGGCTTGCCTGGCCCATGGCTCTGCATTGCCGCCTAGCTCTCCCGGCACTGCTAACCCTGCAGCAGTGGGCGGATGACAGCTGCTCAGATCTGGGAGGTTGGGGTGGTGCCTGCACGTTAGCCTTAGAAATGCCTGTCTTGCGATTGCTGGAGGACTCCATGGAGGCTCACTGCTCGCCGAAGAAAGTTGATTTTCAAGCTGGTTTTTCAGCTGTGCTCTCACACCCTGCATGTCCTGCACCCCCAGTTCCATGCCCATGCTTCCTTTGAGCATTTTCTGGTGTCGTGCGCCCCAAGCCCAGGGCTGCAGGTGAACCTGTCCTTGACACGTGGAGGCCCAGTCGGGAAGCAGAGCCCTGACAAGCATTGCAAGAAGGGGCTGAAACTCCTGGGAATGCCAGGTTCAGATCCCAACAGGCCTGAGGTGGCCCTTCGCCCTGCTGAGCAGGTTCTGTGCAAGTGACTGTTGGCGTGTGTCTCAGATGAGACGCACCAGGGGTCTGAGCACTTGAAGCGGCTGCTTATGCTCTTGTGGCCCTTTCTATGAGAGGGAGGTTCATGATCCCACGTACCCCTGCCTGCACTCTTGTGCACCTCCTGGCTTCTGCCGTTTCCACTGTGCTGTGCCTGCCGGGGGCTGGGAGGTGCCATGGGAATGGAAGTCACTGTGTTTTGTGGCTCTCTGCAACATCACTCTTCCCCATCCCTCCCCAGTGCGTTACGATCTCCTTCGTCTCCAATCCATGAAGAGGATGAGGAGAAGCTATCTGAGGACTCGGACTCGCAGCCAGCGCTGAGCGGGGCCGAGCTGGTGCTGAGGGAGAACAGCTCTCCTGGAGTAAGTCCCCATCCCAAACGCTGCTCAACCCTGGCTGCTCCTTGCCCCATAGCCCTGCACCAGCGAAGGGCCCCTCCCTAGGCTGCAGCATGACAGCTGGCTACGGGTGCTGGTCTGGGGAGCTGCATTTCGGGCAGTCTCTTCCTGAGTAACAGGGCTCAGGGTAAACCCTTTAGTGTAGGACGGGAAGGAGCCCGGAGTCCACTCCTGGGGAGCCCCGAACACTTCCCCTCCTCCCTTAAGTCCACAGCTCTCTATCCCCCACCCCCAATGCCTTGGGTTTCCCATGCTGCCAATCCCTCCCCCGGGCACAATGGGAACAATTACAATTACAGCCAGGGAGGGCATTTCTAACCCCTTGGGGCTGGCGCCTGAAGGGCTTTGTTAACATGGGATGCTCCTGCCGGTGCAAAAGGGTTCCTGGGTGGCATCCTTAGTGTTAGATCTAGGTTAATTCTGGCTCCAATCACTGCAGTTGGCTCTGCAGCTTCCTAGCGCTGAACCCCCCAGCCTGGGCCTGCCCGGTGCACCCACAATCAGCATCTGATACCCGGGAACCTCCAGGAGGTGGTTTCAGCAGGGGGTGGTGTGCCCGGACAGGTGGGCACCCTCATTCCCCAGGCCAGTATGGCACTAGTGTGGTGATAATGCAGGGCATCAGACAGGCTGCCCCCATCCTGGGCACAGCCTGCTGAGCGCATCGGTAGAGTATACTGAGTCCGAGGGGAGGGGTTCCAGCCTGCAGAGATTGTTCTATTCTCTCCTTTTCCAGAGCATGGTGGCTGAAGAAATCGAGGAGATCTCGTCCCTGCAGCAAGGTACGTCCTGCCCATACCTATGAGACAAGTCAGTCTAGAGGGTGGAGTTTGGGGCTGGAAGTGACCCCCTGCTAGCCTCTTGGCCCTGCTCTCTTGGCTTATGGTAGGGCTCCTTCTCATCCCCCTGGAAGGTGCTTCTTGGGGTTGGATGTGGTCTCAGCCTGGGATCACATGCCCGGGTCACTGATCTCCTTGGAGACTGAGCGCCCCCTAGTGCTGTGCACAGACACAGCGCCTGACCCGTGTCTGCTGGGGCCCAGTGAAACATGCACTTTGTGCAACAGGGATCTTTGTGTGAAGAATCATAGAATATCAGGGTTGGAAGGGACCTCAGGAGGTCATCTAGTCCAACCCCCTGCTCAAAGCAGGACCAATCCCCAACTATCAAGATCTGCAGAGCTCTGTGCGCTGCGACACTCTCCAGCGCTTCTCGTGTCTCACATCTTCCAAAGGGAGTGTTTAAAAACTGCATTTGGACAGTGGCCCAAGCTGAAGGGGAAACCGCGCCGGTTGGGAACTAGGAAAAAAGCGACAGTGATTGAAATTTCTTGCGCGTTCCTTCCCAGCCGGCTCTCCCTGGAGCTGAGCTCTCCCAGGATGGTCTGATGGGGCAGATCAGTAGTGCAGCGCCAGGCTGGCTGTGTGTGTTCCCCTCCCCTTTGCTGCTGTCACCATGTTCCCCAGCCTGCGCTTGAGGGCCAGGAGGGAGGCAGAGGCTCTCGGTTGGCCATTGTGCCAGGCAGCACCCACCATTCCCAAACACTTGATGGGAAATTTCACTGCAACTTAAAAGCCTAGATCTCATTCCCTAGACAAACCCTCAGTAGCACCGGGCTGCCTGTTGATCCGCTGTGGGAGGTGGCTTCCACATGGGGAGGGAGGAGAGCACCGGGGGTGGGTTCTCCATCCTGCCCAATGCCAGGTGGCCATCTCCCCACTCCAGCGCTGCTCGGTGGGCAAGACCCAGGCTGTGTCCTGCATGCGTGGGGCTGGCTCAGTGCTGCTAGGATTCACCCTCTGGTGCTGTGATCAGTGCCCAGGGCAGGGCTGGCAGGACAAATGGCAGGAGGCGCTGCACGACTTCACTGGGCTCCCTAGGCCTGATGTGTCTTCAAGCGTCTCGGCTGCAGACAAGAGAAGTGCCTTTTTCAGTCACTGGCCGTGTCACCTGGCAGCGTTTGCAGGGCGCGGCAAGGGGCAGTGGGGAAGGAACCTGTTCTCCCCATGCACATGCCAGTGGGGGCCCTTGTTGGCACTGGCCTCTCCTCTGGAGGGAAGGCAGCACAGAGCCCTCTGTCTCTCTCCCACTCGCTGCATCGGGACTAAGCTGTCCGCATTCTCTGCTGACTCCAGGCAGCCGCCTGCCCTCCATGGAAGACATCCTGCCGGAGAGCAGCTGCAGCGAGCACAGGAGCCTTACGCAGTCAGAGAGCGACCCCCCAGTCGATGTGTACCTGCCAGGTAACAGCCCAGCCCGGGGGCCGGGGGAGGTCTCCTTGTGCTGGCACGGCACTGATTGGTGGGGGGCTGTACTGCCGTGGCTTGGCAAGGGGTCTGTGCTGTGCGTACTCGCTGCGGGCTGAGCCACCCTGCTTGCAGCTTGCTTGCCTGGATCGTTGCATCAGGCAGCTCGTCTCCAGCAGAGACCGAAACTCTCCCCTAAAGCACCCACTTGCCATGATCATATGGAGCCAACTGCTGCCCCCAGGGGCATGGGCGAGTGGGGCTCCCAGAGAGGTAACTTGCCCTATATCTCCACTTCCCCTCTCTCCCTTTGCCGTCCCCTCCTCCCTCACCTTTTTGTCTTGCTGCTTCCAGCCCCCCACCCCACCCCCTTTCCTCCTTTCTGCTCTTTGGGCTGCAGCCACTAGAGGGCAACCCAATTGCAAGTGTGATAGTGGCTTCCCCATGTGAGTTGGTGAGATTCTCTCTTCTCCCACCCCCAACTAAAGATTCATGAATACATGAGTTGAGGCATAATGTGGTGGGGGGCTGAAAACCCCTGGTCTCCCTCCTCTAGTGATGGCCACATCTGATCACTGGCCCTGGCACTCCAGCTGTGAGCTCCCTCCAAGGGTAAGAGCCCACCTGGCAGCAGATCCCGGGCACACCCAGAGAAGAGCGCAGGCTCCTGGCTTTATTACTCCTTGTCTCCATACTGCTGACCCAGGGAGGGAGAGGCAGGGCCTGCCACGCTGGGGCCGCTGAGCATGCATGCTGTCACCACGATCTACACGCGGAGCGCTGGGCTCATCCTGTGCGGGGGAGGGGCCCATCTCTGGGCAGGCCGGGCCCCACTCACTGTGCCGCGGGTGGGGGATTGCGCTTTGGGGGGCTTCATGGCTGAGCTGCTCGCAGCGCAGCTCCATCAGCCATAGTCGTTGCAGCCTGTTCTCTCCTGTAGAGTCGCAGTCTGTTCTGAGCATCTCTCTAATGTCTCCTTCCTTCTGCCTGCCTCCCTGCTCCTGCCCTGGGCAGCACTGGGTCCCGATTCCTGCTCTATTGGGATAGAGGAGTAAGCTGGTACGTCGTCTCATTCTCTCTTACGCGCAGGGAATTGCATGGGGCGGCAGGAGCCTTTCAGGGTGGGGCTGTGGTGGGGGCAGACTAGCTGAATGTGTCAGTACCAGGCTGGCCTCTTCTCCCCTCCCTGCCCTTCCAGCTCGGCCCAGGAGGTGCATTGTTGCAATGGTTTCCCCTCACCACGGGGTGGCAGTAACAGGCCCCAGAGCAGGGCGTGGGAGCCAACTGGCCTGAAATCCGGGAGTTCAGCTGCTCCCTGGGTTTCTCTCTCCAGACGGCTCAGCTTGTGCCTCCTTTGTATACTGACCTGGCAGCTCTGATCCCAGCCCCTGGCAGCAACTGTCAGCATTCCTGAGTCCCCTCTGCCCAGCGCTAGCCAGGCCAAGCACCCCGCCAGGCTCCGAGGGGAGGCTGCTGGGCAGAGCACCAGTGTCCCTCTCCCCAAGAGAGCGAGGTGAGTTCAGCCCACTCCTTGCGACTCGGGGCACATGGTGCCTCCAGCCACCGCTGCTGTGACAGGAACAGAGGAGCCCTGTCCCTGCTATGCTGAGCACCCTCCCCCAGCCCCTCGCTGAATGCTCCTGCAGGAGGCCCTATGGCTGTATGTGAGCCCATAAACATGTGGGTAACTCAGCCCTGTTAGCATGAGTGGCCAGGGTGCGGAGCTGGCCCAGAAACCTCCTCTCTCACACACACAAGGAGATCTGATCTGATCTGCTTCCGCTCACCGTGTGCAGGGTTCCCCAAAGACTGGGGGGCCAAGAGCCTGAAACCCTTGGGGGTTTCTCTCTAGGCCCTGGTGCCCGCTGGGTCCACGTCCTGCTGAACTGTGGCAGAGGGCACGGGGCTCGTCCACTCGTCAACAAAGCCAAGAAACTGGACAGGAAATCCTTATGGGTCCCCACCCAGCCCCTCTGTCCTGGGAGCCAGCGCAGGGCAGTCCCCTTCCCGAGCAGAGGGGAGCAGGGCATACCTGGCATCTGCTGGAGTGTGGGGAGCATCCCGTTTGCAGCATGAGTCCCTCTGGCCCACCCAGAACGGTCCCATGCCCACGGGGCTCCTCCGGTGCGCACATGCTGGCTGATTTCCCCCAAGCTGTAGCTCAGCCCATCCTGCGTCCGCCTGCTCCACCCCTAGGCTGATCAGAGGGCGGCAGGGGCTGTGACGTCTGTCTCTCTCTCTCTCTCTCCCCTCGTTCAGGGTCGTCCTACTCCGAGACCCTTCCAAGCCATGGCACCAACAGTCCCACTCAGCCCCTCCTCTTTGACCAGCCCCGGTTCCGCCCGGAGGACGCGCGCAGCCTTTCCTTCCGCCCAGGCCTGCGGGGGTCTCAACTGCGTCCCAAGCCACACGCACAAGCTCTCCTCTCCCCGAGGGAGCCGGGAGCCGCCCGCGCCCTGCAGGGCCCCCAACTGACTCTCTGATCATGGCTCAGGTGTGTTAAATGAGTCTGTAAATGGGGCAAGAGGAAGGCAGGCGCTGCCTCCTGCAGCAGGTTCGAGCCAGGCTCCCTGGGGCCCTGGGGCCCACTTTCCTCTTGGGACTGGCCACTCCCCTCACCAACGGGCACAACTTTTGCACAGGTTGGTTTTTTAAAGATGTTTAAAGTACTTCCCGTTCTAACCCCTCCGCCCCCTTCCCCCCCCCGAGGAGCCAGCGGGAGGGGGCTGGTGGGGGGTGCAAATGAAGGACACTCCCATGTATATTTTGTACACACGATGACTGCTTGTAGGTGTGGGCTGGCGCTGCCCCTCCCCTGTAAATATGCCTTGGGCCAGTCGCCCCTTGCAGGCCAGCCAGGCTCTGCTCTGTTTTCTCCTGGGGGCACCCAGCCCAGGGCGGTCTGTAGCTGGGCTCATGTGGCACCCCCTCTCCTCCAGGCGTTGGTCCCCTGGGCGTGGCATTGCCTCCTGGCCAGCTGGTGACCCTATGATTGCTTTGCAGCTGGCGCTCGCTCCCCTGCAGCCTTGTGTGGGAGGAGCAGGGTGGACGGGCTCATGCCTTCCCCTGCAAAGGGACGAGGGCCCCGGCTGCACTCACAGGGGGGACAGCCCCTCTGCGGGGAGCCTGCTCCGGGTCAGTCCTTCCCAGGGAAGATCCAGCCGAATCTTCAGCGTGGGGCACGGGCCGCCGCTCCCCTTCCTGATCCTGCACCAGGGCTCTTGGATTCAGCCACCCCTGCTACCCTGCCCCCTCCAGCCAGTGTGTGGCTCCTCCCTGCCAGGCCGTGGTTCCTGGGCCTTCAGGTGCCATGCATGGCTTCAGGCAGGCTCTTACCTAGCTCACAGCCAGGGCAGCCTGGTCTGTCAGCACCTGCGGGCTCCAGGGCGGCTTTTTGAGCTCCTTAGACACAAGCACAAGCGTCCTGCCGGAAGGCGGGGACTTTGCCCCGCCAGGCAGTCACCAGCAGCACCTGCTTGGCTCCCTGCAAGGCCAGGGCCTTGCTGAGTGACACTGTTCAGGGGAGCCCTTAGGAAGAATAGCCTGTTCCTCGTCCTTTACTACTCTGCCCACTTTCCCTGCTGCGGTGAGGCCCGGGCACCTGCTCCTCCCAGCTCTGGAGAGACCCTTCCCCGGCCCCAGTCCCAGCCCCTGACATCTCCCCGTAGTCCCTGCACCACTGTGGTGTGTCTGAGCCCGGCTGCAGAGAGTGGGGAGCAATGCACTGGCAGTGCTAGGCCTTGTTACAGCTGTGGGCCCCAAAGGTGGGGGAGGAGCAGCCCGGCAGCTTGTCTCACCCTGGCTGGGGCAGGGCCGATGAGTCGAGCGCTCAGCTCTGGGTGGAGTCAGGCCCAGCATCTCTCCAAAGCCAGCAGCTCCACGCTCAGCATGCAGCACTGCCAGCAGTGAGGCCCAGGGAGGGCGAGAAGGATCCTGCCCCCGCTATGGGATTCCTGCCATGCTGGGGCCTGGGAAAGGCCTCTATGGCAGAGAACCACCCCCTAACCCAGGGCCCCTTTGAGTTGCAGCCAGCTCCCCCCATCCAGGTAGGGCCTTTATGAGGCAGGAGATCAGCCCTGGGCCCCCACTGCGATCCTGGGCTCGGGTGTGTCTGTTGCTGAGGAGATGGGGTGTGCATTGTAGCAGTGGAGGGGGCAGTCTTCCCAATGCTCTGTTGCAGCCCCTGCCCCAGAGAGCAGGCATGGCCATGGCACAAGGAGATGCCATGAAAAGCACCCCCTAGCCCTCGCTGCTGTCTGCAGTGACTCCCTTTGGCAGTAGGGCAGCTCCCATCACCGCTATCTTCAGGGGCGTGACTCTCTGCCCCTCGTCCTGACCTACTGCTGCATGGTCACTGGGCAGGGTTCCAGGCGGGGCGTGGGGGTGCTGGCAGCCTGCGGGGCTGAGGGAGACCTGCACTCTGCGCACAGCTTCACACTGGGACCAGGACCGGGACCTGGAGCAGGGGGCGTTTGGGCACCTGCCTTTCCCCACTGTACATAGCCAGCGCCCGTGGCCTCATTGGTGCCCCCTTTGCCTGCCTTGATCGATGTCGCTCAGTGCGGTGACCTTGCCGTGTGCCTTGTTCCTGCTTTCTGTGCTGTGGGGAGTCCCCCACCCCACCCCTGGGGCTGGCCCAGACCCTGCAGGAGTCTCCTGTCCCTGCTGGGAGCTGTGCCCACAAGGACCCGTTCCCGTGGGCAGGTTTGTGTGCATGGCTGCTGGGCGCTGCCGTCTGCTTCCGTTTGCCGTCACGCCTTTCGTTCTCTGCTCCTCCCCAGCGAGATGGGCCAGCCCCGTCTCTGCGCCGGGGCGCAGAGCCGCCTGTCTCCCCTGGCAGAGATTTCTGGGGGCTCCTCTCTTTGTTCCTCTGTTTAGAGTAATAAATCCATGGAGCAATAGCCTCTGTTTATCCGTTATTGGAGTCTCCGTGTGCATCCTTCGCCCCATGCAGGGGGAGCCAGGGAAGCTGGAGCTGGTGGACAGCTTGGCCATCCTTGTTCATTGCTGGAGCCTGGGGTGCATTTGAGGGTGGGATGAGGGGTTCCGGAGATAGAAAGTTCAGCCTGAGCAGCTTTATCATTTTTGGATTCTTATAACGCTCTGGGTTGCAGAGGAAGGAGACAAAACTCAGGCCCTGACCACCCCCACCCCCCAAAATGTACAGCCCCGGCCTGCCCTGAGACACTGAGCAATGGGACCAGGGGCCAGGCTCAAGATGTTTCCAAAGCTATTGCTCTCTGACTGGTGTGCAGGAGCCCCTGACGGAAGTGGGAAGCTAAGAATGGGCATGTCTGGTGTGTGGCACAGTGCGCAGCTCTGAGATCATAGTTGGGAGCTGAGAACATGCCTGGCACAGGTCCACAGGAGGGAGGGCTGAGAATACCCACTAAGGTGAATGTAGCGGTTGACACCTCTTCTTTCAGACTGTATTCATCTGCATGGGCGTCTCACTCAGCTGAGAACACCTCATTGAGATGAATGGGCTACTTCACTGCTCCCAGAACTGCCTGTGCTGCAGCCGCAGATGGATGTGCAGAGCCCCCTGTGCCTCAAAGGGCCCAGAGCTGGAGCAGAGACTCTGCATCTACACTCTTCAGCCCCTGCCTGCCTCCGGTGGGTCCATGCGCTCCTCACAGCTCCACCACCTCCCCTCAAGGCCAGGGGCATAGAGTGGCCAGGAGAAAGTGGAGCTGGCAGCTGAGTGGTGCATAGCTCAATGGTCAGAGCAGTGGGGGCGTGGTCAGAGCAGCAGGCAAGAATATGGTGGGTTGGAGAAGATGTAGGGGACCAGCCAAACCCTGTCTTTAGAAACCCCAGTTCATTGACTAGAGCTCTGATGAAAAACTGAATTTGATCCCTTGGTGAAAAAGGGATGGTCTTCAAAAGGGCCTTTGCTCCCCCAACTTTCCCTTTTCTGATTCTGTTCTGGCAATGGTTTTGAGCCCCAGAGAACAATCTGTTCCCTCCCCTACAAATACCCCCAGCATCCTCTACACTCCCTCCCTGTGGCTGCTCCACCAGGTCGGGGGTGAGCTCAAGGGTTCCACTTCCCTCCCCTGCTCCTCAATAGGGGAAGGGAACCTAGAAGTCCCCATTTCCCCATGCTCCAGGCATGGGACAGGGCACCAGGCTTACCCCTTTTCCCCCAATGATGCTGTTTCTAGGGAGAAAGAGGAGCTCAGTGCAGGGTAGGAGAGTATGGAGAGGAAAACAGGGGTTAGAGTTGTGCAGGAGGGTATTGGGAGTCTTCAGCTCTGCCTCCCAACTCCCACATCCTTGCCCCCCCCCTTCATTCCTCCCTTCAAAACATACTGCCTACCACTGGCTCCATGTCAATCCCTGTCTTCTCAATCTGTGGGACCCTCACTGATGCCCTGCCCCCATGACTTTAGATGGCCAAAAACTATTATTCTAACACTGAGAAAGAGGACAACTTTGGGTAAAAGCCCATCCTTTTTCAGTGGGGAAGTGAAATGATAGATAGATGGGGGGGGGGGGGTGTTGAGGGTGTGTGTGTGTGGAAGATTGATAAGGGAAGCTCATAGACTTTAAGGTCAGAAGGGACCATTATGATCTTCTAGTCTGAACTCCTGCACAACGCAGGCCACAGAATCTCCCCCACCCACTCCTGTAACAAACTCCTGACCTATGTCTGAGCTGTTGAAGTCCTCAACTTGTGGTTTAAAGACTTCACGGTGCAGAGAATCCTCCAGCAAGTGACCCGTGCCCCACGCTGCAGAGGAAGGCGAAAACCCCCCTGGGCCTCTGCCAATCTGCCCTGGAGGAAAATTCCTTCCTGACCCCAAATATAGCGATCAGCTAAACCCTGAGCATGTGGGCAAGACTCAGCAGCCAGACACCCAGGAAAGAATTCTCCGTAGTAAGTCAGATCCCACCCAATCTAGTGTCCCATCACAGGCCATTGGGCATATTTACCACTAATAGTCAAAGATCAATTAATTGCCAAAATTAGGCTATCCCATCATACCATCCCTTCCATAAACTTATCAAGCTTAGTCTTGATGACAGATATGTCTTTTGCCCCCACTGCTCCCCTTGGAAGGCTGTTTCAGAACATCACTCCTCAGATGGTTAGAAACCTTTATCTAATTTCAAGTCTAAACTTCCTAATGGCCAGTTTATATTCATTTGTTCTTGTGTCTACATTGGTACTGAGCTTAAATAATTCCTCTCACTCCCTGGTATTTATCCCTCTGATATATTTATAGAGAGCAATCATATCTCCCCTCAGCCTTCTTTTGGTTAGGCTAAACAAGCCAAGCTCTTTGAGTCTCCTTTCATAAGACAGGTTTTCCATTCCTTGGATCATCCTAGTAGCCCTTCTCTGTACCTGTTCCAGTTTGAATTCCCAGCATTATTGAGCTGTCTCTCACACTGAAGCCTAGAATATTGAGTCCGTGTGAAGTGATGGAGACAGCTACAATCAGGGGCTCTTTTGGTTTAGAATATCACTAGGGTCAGTTGTCACTGGGCTTAATGATCTGTACTGTCACAGTTTTTAAGTTCTCAGCCGTTTTGACTTCAGGAATTCCACCCTTGTGACAGCAAGGCATGCATCTATGCCATGCCAAGGTCCTAGACAATTGTGATAGCAGAGGGAACTCAATGAATCACCACCCTTACTCTACCACTCATTTGCATGCAACAATTCCATTGGTTGTATGAGAGACTGCACAGATGGTGGATTCTTGTCCCAACTGCTACCCGCACAAATCAACACAAACCTCCCAGCACAACCCACCTAGACACAAAGGAACACAACAATATACCCAGCACAATGACCTCGAACACAGATAGCTCTTATAGCAGCCCCCACCACCACAATTCACAACCCGCCCAGATCTACTCCATTCTCCAGCAGTACAACACAAGTCACCACCACCTACCCAGCAACAACACCCCTTAGAGCAGGGGTGGGCAAACTGTGGCCCGGGAGCCGCATCTGGCCCTTCAGATGTTTTAATCCGGCCCTCAAGCTCCCACCAGGTGCAGGGTCCGGGTCTTGCCCCACTCCAGCCAGGGAGCAGGGTCAGGGGTTGGCCATGCTCTGCGCATGCTGTGGCTCCACACGGCTCCTGGAAGCAACGGCATGTCCCCCCCTCCGGCTACTACGCGTAGGGGCAGCTAGGGGGTCTGCATGCTGCCCCCTGCCCCAAGTGTGGCCCCCACAGCTTCCATTGCCCGGGAACTATGGCCAATGGGAGCTGCAGGGGTGGCTCCTGCAGAGGGGGCAACGCGCAGAGCTGCCTGGCTGCACCTCTGCATAGGAGCCGGAGGGGAGGCATGCTGCTGCTTCAGGGAGCTGCTTGAGGTAAGTGGTGCCCGGAGCCTGCCCACCTCCCAGGCCCCAACTCCCTGCCCCAGCCCTGATCCCTCTCCTGCCCTCCAAACCCCTCGGTCCCAGGCCGGGGCACCCTCCTGCACCACCAAACTCCTCATCTACAGCCCCACCCCAGAGCCCGCACCCCAA